TCGAGCTCTCTGTGGACCTCGACAAGGAATAACCAGAAACCCGCTTCCCCCAGTGCATCAGGCACAACGCCAATGTTAAGCCTAGCTTCCAGGTTTTTCGACTCAATTGAACTAAGGCATAGCTGCAAACCCAGATGAGAATCCGTCGAACTCATGCCAGGTGCTCTAATGGCCTCTTTCATCCATAGAGCCGCTCTAATGAGAACCAATAGGTCCCCATGAATGGATCTGCATTCCCACTAAAAAATGGGGTGTGCATCTTTATTACAAAAATAACATAAGAGTTCTACATGAGGAAACCAAGAGCTAAGGCCTTTAAAGTCCACAAAACCAACAAATGTTTAGGGGTGTGCATGTATGTATATGCATACATAAAATCATATGTATATGTATGTGTGATATATCTATCTATGTATGGGTGTGTGTGTATATATATATAGAGAGAGAGAGAGGGAGACCTAACATTCTTTTAGCATATTGAGTAGAGAGAGATTTGGCTTGAGAAAGGCAAATTATTAGGGTTTCAAATGGGAAAAGGAAAATTTTTTAAACTAAATTTGGAAAAACTTAAGAAAGTGGCGCAAATGATAGATAATTGACAGTTGGTTAGCAGTTTTGGAAAATGAAAAATAAAGGTGGTATTTTTTAAGCTTTGAATAACTATGGTGGCCAAACCGAGGCTTCCCCTATATTTAAAAGAAGCAATTAATTAAGAACGTAAGTAGAAACAACTGAATTGGAGCAATATCCAAGAAAAAAACAGCATGCTCATTCTCGTCCCTGAGCATGCAAGGACATAAAAGATAAAATGAAAACAAACAGCCATGTCTGGGCCTTTTAAAGATGCAACTAACTAAATGAATATCCACCTTCAAGCCAAGGAAATTTATTTTCAATATGCATACCAAGATGTCGTTCTAAGAAAACCAGCATATTGTCCTTTGAAGCCCTTCCTAAAAGGACAGAGATACTGAGATGCCTGGTTTGTAGGTAATTTTGGCCTTCAAAAGCTTTTGTTTATTCCTTTGCCAAGATATTAGTCATGTGAAAGTTTTTGCTAGTGGTCAATGGCATTCTCTTTCATGGCTCCCCATGTGTTTTGAGCATGTAAATTCTCCTCTCCTCATGTTACATATGAGTCATTTACCACATTCGGGATAGCTGCCATTAGGCTGAATGTAGTTACCATGATAAGCTGCAGGAATTGAGATGTCTACACTCAGAACTGGTACACTATGTCAGTTCATCAGTATCATGGTTGTCTTCTTCAACAACTTACCTCAAATCCGATTTGGCTCCTACCATGAGCCAATGGGTGGCAGGCATTGGTGACTCCATCACCATGAGTCTGAGATTGCATAAGCCTATGTATTCACTAGGGGAAGTGGGAGGGAGATCACTCCATTTGAAATGCTTGTTGCAAGCATATCAGGCATATGTCATCCTGAGCACTATGATAACCAGATGTCATTTTTGCAATTTTTTAGGATTTTAGATCTGGAAATTGTTCGAAAATAATGAACTATTGCTTTGAATCGGTGTGTAAGATGTGATGACCTAAAGGGAACTCCTCGCTATTTTTGGCTCACAAAGAGTTAGAAATGTGTAGTACGTTGGAATATGACTAGAGTAGCTAATAGTTCCACCTGCTCAGAGAGACAAGCGTTTATGTTCCTATGAGCCCACAGTATTGTTTCAACTAATCATCAAACACTTATTTAAATATTTTTGGCATTGTTCTCAGAAATGCCTGGTAAGAGTTAAAATTGATTACCATCTTTACAGAAAGTCTAAATCTGTTTAGTATTGTATTTTTCGCTATGGGAATTTTGATAACATCAAACCATCACCAATATGTCCCAATCTTGTAAATATATTTCTGGAAAAATGTTACTGATTTTAGATGAGCTTTATTAAAGGCCCCCGCTACTAAATCCTTTTGGTAGAACAATTTTAGACCATTGCGAGCAGCTTATCAATTTTCCAGCTGCTAATTTTTTTTTCTGTTAATAATATTCTCCTATAGAATAAACTTTGTGATTGTCTTGATAGCAAGAAAACCCTCATATGCTTCAGTCCATTCGTCATGAGGAAATTCTCTGATTCCCTTTCACCTCATAAACTTTCAGAAATATCTGAATCCTATCCTCCCCTCTCAACTAGTCTATATGTAGCTAACGATAGTGAATTGTGGGATAACACTTCAAAATATAGTGAACAAGAGAGTCAAAGAAGACAACTGAAGAAGGAAAAGTTTTATTTCTTTCTGGGATTCTTCCATTTCTTCCATCAAGTCAGGAGGCTCACGTTGTTCAATTGAATAAAAGCCTAGATTGACTATGTTGCTAAGCTTCATCAAGGAACACAACAAAAACCTCTTAAGGTCCATACACAGCAAAATCCCTTGAATAAAACAACAGTTGAAGGAGCATTGACTAGCTCAGAAGTTAAATAATTGTTTCCTCAAACCCTCTATGCAATTTAGGGTTTTGACCCAATCAAATCAGGACTATTTTTCTAGGAGTGGTTGTTGCCAGTTGCAGCCATAAATCATAAGGTTTCAGAGAAATCAAAGAAATCTGGACCACATTATTTAAATGGTTAGGGGGAGATTTGATCAACGAAATGTTAATCAAGTTTCCCAAGTAATTCTGTTACAATGCTGACTCCCAAATAATTCTGTTACAATGCTGATACAAGAAGTACCTAAAAAAAAAAAATTCCACAAGCATATATTTTTTGGTTCTCAGTGAATATGCAAGGGAAAATATCCCACAAGCTGTCAACATTTAAGGTTACAAAAAGGAAAATGAATGAGAAATCAATGATCAATATTTTTTTTTTGTCATAGGTGAGCCACAAGTTCTTGGTGAAGTATGTAACATGAAGCGATGTAACATGGAATCATGTCTATGACTTATGACTTGTGTTGACACACCAAGGAGAAGACACTCATGTCCAACACTTCGAGACTAGGACACTTCTTGTTAACCTTTCTTATTGAAATCTCATAATCTCACCATGAAATACTTTAGAGTCACCTAAAAGCCCTCCTCCCCTTGTATCTAAGCGATGCATTATCTAAGAGATGCATGGATGTGTTGTGTTTGAAAATCCAATTTCGGGATTGGCATTTCTAACACATCAAAGGCTGACTCACATATCCGTGTCTCTGTCACAGTTTGTAAGTTCGACTAATCATATGATCATGAGGCACAAAAAAGCAAGCATTTGTACCATCTTTTAGGGTGCCGCAATTCCTAGAAGGCTCTACTTCTGGATCGTCTATACAATGTTCTCAAGTTAAAGCATCTCTATGCATGGGTGTTTCCTGCAACTAAGTTCAAGAATACATGTGGATTTATATCGACCCCACCACTCATAAATAATACTGATAATAAAAATTGTAGGCAAGCGTCGTAGCCAAAAGAAATCCTTCTTTATACAGCCAATACTCAGAAAACTAGCCAAAAAACACTCATGACTGTAACAAATGCATGGAAAAAATATTGTAAAAATGAATAATAAAAAAAAACATTGTAACAAACGCATGAAAAAAGAAATAACCACTACGAGGCATACAAATACATATTAGTTGCATGTATTATTTATGTCTTTATTTAGACTAGATAAATGGTCTAAGAAGGGTGACGACCTTAAACTTTCCCTTAACCCGTCCCATGCCTGGGTAAAGGAGCTGGGTTGTGTGTTAGGTAGGCAGCCAACGTAAAACTTTGCCAAAACTTATCATAAATCCTGAACCTAAAATATCGCGCACTTTCGATATATTGGGTCGATAATACAAGAAATAGAGAGATTGAAGAAGATTTTGCACATAAAATTAGAGCTGGATGGGCGAAACGGAGATGTGCAACTGGAATTTTATGTGATCACCGCATACCAATGAAGCTGAAGGGGTTCTATAGGACAGCTGTGAGACTAGCTTTACTCTATGGGGCGGAATGTTGCACTGTCAAAAAACAATATACCTATAGAAAGAGTGTGGCGGAGAGAAGGATGTTGAGATGGTTGAGTGGCAAGACAATAAGGGATAAAATATGAAATGAATACATTTGGAAAAATTTAGGTGTGGCACCAATAGGTGATAAGATGAGAGAGAGTAGACTTAGGTGGGTTGGCCATGTGTGGCGCAGATCCAATATAGCACCAGTTAGGAGGTGCAAGTTAGTTCAAGTGAAAGGCTCTAAAAGGACAAGGGATAGGCTCAAAAGGACATGGTTGGAAGTAGTGAGAAAAGATATGAGAACTAAAGCCCTCACTGAGGTTCTAACCCTTAATAGAGCGGAATGGCGGACCAGGATTCATGTAGCCGACCCCAATTAGTTGGGAAAAGGCTTTGACAATGACGATGATGATTTAGACTAGATAAAAAGAAACAAAATAGTTAGGCATGCAAGGACGATTTGCATGCTAGTGTTGTCTATTATAGAGGGTGTCCTTCAATCACAAGCAACTCCATAGTTTCATTAGGTTAGATTGAACCTTGTACAACGTGAATGAGCAAATGATGATTAAAAATCATCAGTCTCGTAACCCACATCAAAGAATCGGTAATATGGTTCATCTTATTTTTACTCAAAAAAATAAAGGAATCAAATATGGATTACAACGAAAACCATATGTATCTTCCTTCAAATTCTAAGATTATCCACAACAAACCCAACTGGTTTGAGTGTTGTCTTCCCAATTACCTCCATTTTCATGCTACAGAGGCTAATTGTCAAGAACAAACTGAGACACTGCAGGAAAAAGAAGTCCTACAGTCCCAACGATTTGTTTGTTTTTTTATTTTATATAACAAGTGGGGGTGCACTATGAATGCATCCCAAGAAGTCACACATATAACAACATCACGACCAACATCACAAACAAAAATATAAAATAATAGCCTCATTATAACATAGTAGAATAGAACGAGTAAAGCTTCTAGCAATTGAATGACTTAATAAGGAGAAGAAAGGAACTAACAGCGCACTTACAAGAAGAAGTATAAACCCCAAGAAAGAGTTGAACCGATAACTGCTGGAGAAAAACCGGCATAGATTCCTCTCAAACCCTACAGGGCAATGCCACCCAGAATTATGCACTCAGAATACATCAACAACACAATTCATTGTTCCTAAACAAATTACAGGGATGTTCCTAGGACAAATGACAAACATGGAAGGAGTTGCATCCATGACACTTGGTTATGCAAAATACAATACAACTCAAGAAAGTAGATATACACATTAAGATTTGATGTATGGGTCTTAATATCTTGAAATAATATTTAGATTTTGGCAAGAGAAACTAGTACGCTCTTGTTGTATGAAAGAAACGTACAATGAAACAAATCATACGTATGAAAACTGTTAGTAAATTTCCATGGTCATATCTCAAACAATCAAATCCAATTTATAGTGAAAAACAAAAGAACAGGAATCATTTGGGATGAAAGAAAATAGGAGCGATCACAGCAAAGTGAATATACATGCAAATCCAACGTTTTCGCAAGCTACTGAATAGAGAGTAGTACAATGAAAAACCACTATGTAACTAATCTGATGGTGCCAAGTTGAAGTCAAGCGGATGAGAAAATGGAAACCATCAAGAACTATGCAAAAATATACAACCAATGGGGAATAAAATTAAAGAGAACACGATAAAAAATTAAGAGAGCATCCCTTCCCATTTAAGCCCCCAAAAAGATGGGTGGGATTTGAATAAGGCGACAAGCTTAAACAATCCTAGTAAGGCATGCCAAAATATGCTAAAAGATGTAGTTTTGGTTCTGCAGAACTTTGTGATGACCTAAAAATATTTTCTCCCTAATTGTGAAATTCAATGATGCAGATCAAGAAGATCTATAGCCACTAGAAAATCTTGAAAATGGACGGTCTAGATAATACTCTACAAGATGCACTATTTTAAAAACTTCAAATCAATTTTTTTTCATGTCCATTCATCTTGAGATCAAGATGATCAATTGGAGGGTTGTGCAGTGTCAACATAATCTGTTTTGGTGGCTTTTTGAGGTGCGCCTTCTATAGTTTGACACGTTACATAAACTTATAACTTTTTCCCAAATAGATTGGAGAGCGTAAAGTACCTTAAGAACCATTCCCTACTCCAAAATATTATGGCCCAAAAAAAAACTAAATGAATGTGAGGAAAACTCACAGAGTTTATTCAACTGAGCAAGGCTTCTTTACACACTCTGGCCAAAGTAACTCCACTTCAGCTGAAGAGTTCAAAGTAGGCAACAAAATTGGCCAGGACGTTTCACTGCTCTCACTTTATCTCTACAAAATATTGACCCTTCAGCTGGAGTGATGTGAATTTAAATATACATTCACATCCAGAAATCACACTTTCAACCGCTACATCACATTTAGGAAATGTATGCTTCAACTGCTACTCATGCTAGAGTGTTGCCTGTAAGTGACATGTTGTACCGTCACTGAGGTGTCGTGATAAGTGAGCAAGGGTTAGCTAGGGCATTCCAAGGAAGCGACGTGCCACAACAACACCCAGTTGTTGTGACAAGTAGGCAAGGGTTCCATGACATTTTGGACAAGCGCAAGAAGCTAGTCCAAGATAATGGGATTCGTCTAACCACATGTAATGTAGGAAGTCTAACAGGTAAAGTATGGAAGTGGTGGATAAATGAGCAAAAGAGAGTTAGCATAGCATGCTTACAGGGAACCAAGTGGAAAGGGGCAAAAGCTAAGGAAATTGATGGATATAAATTTTAGTATATAGGAAAAGATAATAAAGGAAATAGTGTAGGCATAACGGTAGACGGAGATTTAAAGGATACAATGGTAGATCCTAAGGGAGTAGGTGATAGGCTCCTATTGTTAAACTTGTGTTAGAGGACTAGATAATTAATATAACTAGTTCTTGTGCGCCATAAGTGGGACTCAAGCATACAATTAAAAGACAATTCTGAGAGGAAATGGATGGATGAGTCCAAGGAATACCAAATGGATAGAGGACATTTCTAGGAGGGGCCTTAAATGGTTCTATTGGAAAAGATAGTAGAGGATATGCAAGGGTACATGAACGATATAGATTTGGGAAGAGAAAAGAGATGGCTGATGCCATTATTGATTTACAATGGCTTACGAACTAGCAACAGTAAACACCCACTTTAAAAAATGAGATGAACATTTAATAACTTATAATAAAAGCCAGATAGGCTTCTTTCTAGTTAAAAAGGAAGATCAACCACCATGTAAAAACCATAAGGTTATCCCTAGAGAGAGTTTGATCACGCAACATAGGTTCATGAGAATAGGTATCCAAGAACTAGATGGTGGAATTTAAAAAGGGAGAAAAGACTTATTCAATAATCAATTGATAAAATAAGTAAAATAGAATTATGAGGATGGAGTTATATTATATGGAATAAGATGGCTGATTGTATTAAGAAAATGGCAAAACTAATATTTAGGGAATCCAGCGAGAAAAAAAATTCAGAAAAGGAAACTTTGTGGTGAAGTTTCAAAAGGCTATTAGTGAAAAAACGATCATGTTACAAAGCTTGGAATGAAATAAAAATGATCAAACCTTAGAAGAATATAGAAATGTCCAAAACAAATGCTAAAAAAATAGTAAGGCTAAGCTTAAGGCATATGATGATCTATATAATAAATTGGGGACAAGAGAAGGTGAAAAAGCCTTCAAACTAGCAAAAATGAAAAGGAGGAAATGTAGGGGTACAGATCATGTTAAATATGTTATCAGTGAGGATCAAAGGGTTTTGATGAAGGATGACGAGGTCAATGAAAGGCCAAGAATTTATTTTTCAAAATTGCTAATGACCACTATAGGAGCAAAGGGTTTTGATGAAGGATGACAAGGCCAATGAAAGGTCAAGAATTTATTTTCCAAAATTGCTAATGACCACTATAGGAGCACAGTGTTAGGTCAAACCATTGACATAAATGAGGCACTAAGGTGAAAGGTCATAGATACATTCTTAGGATTAGGAAAGGCTTTACGTCAGATAGCATCCCAATAGAGGTTCGGAAGTGCATAGGAGAGATTGGTATATTTTGGTTGACTAAACTGTCTCAACAAGATTTTGAGAACAAAGAAAATGTTAGACGAATGGAGAAAATGTAGTGTGATACATATTACCAAAACAAATGAGACGCACAGAATTGTACAAACTATCATAGGTTAAACTTATGAGCTCCACTATGAAGTTGTGAGGGAGAGTGATTGAGCAACGGCTAAGACATTAAATGACTGTATTAAAATTCAATTCGGTTTTATGCCAGGGAGTTCAACAGTTGTGGCAATTTCCCAATTAGACAATTGATTGAGAAGTTTAGGGAGAAAAGAAAAAGAGAATCCACATGGTCTTTATTGATTTAGTGAAATCATACAATATGGTACCAAGAGAGTTATTTGATGGGTGTTGGAAAAGAAATGAGCCTTTAGAGGATATACTGACATGGTGAGAGATATGTACGAGGGAGCACTAAATAGTATGAGGACAACTTGTGGAGAGACAAGTGTGTTTTTAGTGATATTAAGCCTATATCAAGGTACAGCACTAAGCCAATATCTCTTTATTGTTTTGTGAATGAATAACTAGGCATCTACAAGATGAGGAACCATTGCGCATTTTTTTGCGGGTGACATATTCTTGATTGATGAGACTAGAGATGGCATCAATGGAAAGTTAGTACTTTGGAGGGATGCTCTAGAATCGGAAAGTTTTAAATTATCTAGACTAAGAATATATGAAATGCAAGTTTAGCAATAATAGGAGAAGAAATGAGGAAGTAGTTAATATTGATGGCCAAGAAGTACTTAGAAGAAATTATTTTCGATATTTTGGATTGATAATCTATGAGAATGGCGAGATTACAGAAGATGTGCATAGAATTAGAGTTGGGTAGACGAAGTAGATATGCGCTTCTGAAGTTCCATGGATCATCACATATACCAATGAAACCGAATGGGAAGTTCTATATGACGGCTGTAAGACCAGTCATGCTTTATGGAACGGAACATTGGATGATTAAAAAACCAACATATCTATATAATGGGTGTAGCTGAGATGAGAATGTTGAGATGGATGAGTAACAACACAAGAAAGGACAAAATTTGGAATGAATACATCCGAGGGAGCTTAAGGGTAGCTCCAATAGGCGATAAGATGAGAAAAAATAGACTTAGGTGGGCTAGTTATGTGCAATGTCGATCTAAACCAACATTGGTTAAGAGGGGCGATTTGGTTAAAGTGAAAGGCTCTAAAAGGGTAGGGGAAGGCCTAAAAAGATATGGGTGGAAGTAGTGAGAAAAGATATGTGACTTATGGTCTAACTAAGGGGACGGCCCTTGATAGAGCGAAACAAAGAAATAGGAATCCTGTAGCTGAACCCAAATAGTTTGGATAGGTCTCGGTTGATGATAATGATGAGGATGCTTCCACACTCGGTAGAGAGTGAAAGTCACAAAGAGAGGGGAAAGAATGTGTTAGGGAAGGATACTGGCTATGCAAGATTCGAGTAGGTCATAAAATGAAGTGGTGCAACTTCACAGTATAAACTACAAGCCAATTGTGTATGGATCCAAGCAATAAATTAGGTATAAGCCACATAACACTTATAAGCATCAGCACTCTCATTAAATTAGACATTTGAAAACCATCATCCATCACTTTGCCAGAATTCATGAAACCCATCTCATTCCACTACTTTGTCTATGAGAAAGGAGGAGCTCAAATTACTCGCATTTTAATGGATTCTTCTAACAAGGACCCTAGCAAATTATTAAAAAATAGGAATTCCGCAAGGAAATAACTTCACAGTGAGGGGAAAAGGCTCAAAACCCTGAGAAGGAAACCTATCAAATCCAATAAGCACAAAGGGAAATGGCCTATATAATCTAAGTATTGTTATAAACAATTCAATCAGCAAAGAGTCAGATACAGTGATAAATTTTCTATTTGTATGCCATCAAATTATAAATAGGAGAACCTCATATAGGAGTGTGAACGCACTTTTAAGGGACTGCTACGTTAGGAATTATGTCATAAACGTTCACCAGAAAACACAAGTGCGATACATCAGGAAATCTGCCATCTAAGTTCAAAAAAACTGGCTCCATAAACTCAGAAAGAATGTCGGAAAGACATCAAGGAAACAGAAATCCACCACTTCACACCACACACAAAAAAACTAACCAACCTCTGAGCGTGCTATAGTAAAGAGTGCATGTGCAGTGTTCTTGTAAGAAGGCACCGTTGAGCAGCGTCCATCGTTAACTGCATCATGAGAGAGAGAGAGTGGTAGGAAGAATGAGAAATGGGAGGAACTAGAAGAATTAGAAAGAAGGAAGGGGAGAAATGATTACCTTGAAACCTGGTGCGGACAACATCAAGAGGATGGAGGGCAGCAACAGTGGCAAATCCAGCAATGGCCCCTGCCGTCGCATTCTCCCACCCCCACGCTGATTGCCCTGCCTTGTCCTCGTCCTCCTCCTCCTCCTCCTCCTTCCTACTCCCCTTTCTCTCCACCGCCACCATCTCGCTCTGTTGTATCGTTTGCCTCGGAGCTAAAATATATCAAACGCAGAGGAGGAAGAGTCCGGGTGTGAGAGGGAAACGGCCATTCTTGCGTACAGTCCAGAATCCCTGCGACTCTCAAATTGGAAATGGGCAAAGTCCGGAAATGAATACGATGACACCATTTACTTCTGATACATGGAGGTCGCGATTATCATTAACCCTTAAAGATTTGAAATCTGGATCCAAAATAAAATTTCTTTCACATATTTTCAATCTTTTGGATATCACATCTGTTGGCTAAAAATGATGATGACATCTTTCTACCAAATAAATAAATAGTCTATAATATCATATACCAAAAGTTTATATTAGGAGTAAATTTTATAGCATTGAACCACTTAAAACAACTTGTTACAAAATGTTTTTGGGATGGTATACAACCAGACCATTTATCTTTATACAAGAAGATTGCAAGTACTTATAACCATCGGATGTGAATATGTTAGCCTAAGTATGTCACAAAGTTCATAAAGAAAAAATTTTAAGTTTAAGCTTGGTCAATAGAAGAAATGCATCCATCCAATTTCCAACCTAATGGTCAAAATTAGTTGCGACTACCTTGTACCAAAGGTAAGTAGTCTCATTGTGTATTTTTCTCATTTTTTTTATGTTGAAAGTATTTAAATTGATCGTCATCACCTCGAGATGCATGGATATAAAAAGAAAATATTTTCAATAATGAAAATAGCATATCTTGTAACACATTATTAAGACTATTTATTTTCAAAATTTGTAAGTTTTTGTACATCTACTTGATCTACACTATTTTTGGAGCTTTTAATTTTATAATTGAAGGTGACAATAGATTTTCATGCTATTGCCATCTTTTCGATACCAAAATTGCATCTTTCAACATATATTTAAAGTGTCTTACTTTGATTATTTAAGGTTGATGACTTATAAAAACCTCATACCATTGGAAATTAGTGGCTTTAGTGTTGTTTTTCTATTTTTAATCAATATTAAGTTTTTATATTTTTATATTATTTTCAATTTAAAATAATTTCTTTATATTTTATTTTTCAAAATTCAAGGAATTAAAGTTGTTGATGTTCTCATTTTCTTCTTAATTTGAGTTATAGTCTTTATATTGCAATAATAATATATCTTGCATGAAATTTTTTTCCATGATTTTCGATTTTTTATCAAGGAAAAAGTATATAAATGGTTATACTGTATAAGAAAGGTGCACCTCAAAAATCCAATAGAAAACATTGTTTTGAAGTTGGAAAACCTTCTAATTAAGGATCTTGATTTTACCGTTCAAAAAAAAAAAGCATCTTGATTTTGAGATGTAAGGATATCAAGAAAAAATATTAAAATCCTAAAAACAGTGCATCGTGCAACAAGTTATCTAGACCGTCCACTTAAAAAAAAATCAAGTATTTTTAGATCTTCTCGATCTACATCATTTTCGAAATTTTGAATTTCATAATTAACGTCGAACATGGATTTTTTGGTTTTCGTGAGGTTTTCGACACTGAGATTACATCTTCTGACAAAATTCAGATATTTGCCTCTACTAGTATGGTATAGGTGGCACGTCATACAAACCTCACCCTTTTATTAATGTATTGTGATTTTTTTGAATTGACAACAATTAGAAAAAATAAAACAAAGGGAGAGGAAAAATGTTACAGACAAATAGAGGTAGACCATGATCTGAGACCAGGGAGATGAAAAAAGTTACAGACAAATATATGAGACCTTGTGCTGCTTCTTCCCAGTCCTAAAACTTCTCTCACGATTCTTATGAGACCTTGTGCTGCTTCTTCCCACTCTTAAACGTCTCTCACGATTCTTATTCTTTGTAGTTGTAAATGCACTAAAAGTTGTAGAGAGAGTATGTGAATAATGAAGTGATTGCAAAAGTACCAATAAATTGATAGTGGGACTGGTTGAAGAAGGAATTGCTTATCATAAAGAGCCTTTGTGAAAGGGAAGTGTAGAAATGTGAGTGAGTTTTAATATGGATAAAAGTTGTAAATAATAAGGGCTGAATCATGATGATTATGTTTGGATGAAAGGTTGTAAATGATAGGTAGTTAGTGAAGAGTTGATTCTCTTTGGATAAAAGGTTGTTAACCTAAAAGGGTGTACAGACTTTTCTTACCTATGCCCTAGTTTATATAGTCATGAGGTGTTTTCATGTAAACCCTGACTAGGGGAGACCCACAAACCTCTTGATTTAGTTAGGGCCCTCTATTTAAACCTCATGACTTGGGGTTTAGGGGCTTTCTGGATCCCAATTCGCCAAGAACTAATAAGTTCATTACTCTTGTTCACTCCCACTATGACCAAGAATTGTAGTAGAGCAATGGAATCAAGACCTTGAAAGGTCATAATTCCAACATTAACCTGCTCTTTCAAAGTTTTCAAAAATTGATCTCGAAAAAGGATTCAATTCATCATTGCATGAGGATAAACAACTTAGTCGATCGAGCCTCATGTTCCCTCTCTAGGGATATGAGGTCAACCTCTTTAGCTTATTATGAGGTAAAAATGTAGTTGTTCACTCCATAGTTGCAAAGAGTATAAACTGCTAACTACCTCTCGTTACGAGTGAGTGGACCCCGCCAATGACAATAAATAATAAGTGTGGGAGTTCTCCCTCACACACCCAGATTCCTGAGGAAAATGAGATGAACTCATTACAATGTGTGTGTTGTCCCACTCTAACGGTTTAACAGTAGAAATAAAAGGGACTAACCCATAAGGAGGACAAAACTCTTGAAATCGCTCTAAGATATATGTGTGCACAAGTGTTCCTCACAATGAATAAATACAAATATGCATACACAATAAGACATACCCTTTAGGGGAATGAAAATTAAAGTTAATCATATATAAGTAGCAAAATAAATGTGTATACATGATAAGGTACTTTAAATGTCACGGTAAAAAAAATAAAATAAAATACAAAATGCACCCAAAATAGTTATGGGAACCACAAAATCACTCCTCCCTTGATTTGGGAGCCTCTGAAGCTAGAGCAAAGTTACTTAAGCCCTTCTGGCCCTCAATCCTCTGCATGGTTCACCTCAAAGTCGTTGCCACAGTCTGAGAAGGGATGATACTCCTCAATGGAGCAAGAGTCGGCGGCTCTATGAACTATGGAACTCAATCTGCCTCCCTAGGGTCACCTCCTCTTGCCACTAGCAATGCGCTCAAAGATGTAATCAAATGTTGTGACCATGATATGGTGGCCGCATCCCGACGAGCACGCTCCTTGAGCACATCCTGCGAGACAACAAGAAGAAATCATAAGTTAAGTACTATCTAGAAAACACAAAACAAACAATCATAACGAATACCCTCTGTCTCTGTAGAGATGGTCTGTGTCCCCACGCAAACAGTTTAGCTCATGCTGCAACCGATCAGAGGATTCCCCTAGAGCTATTGTGGCTAATCGTGAAGAAGAGGGACCTAATCACATACTATCAAACTCGGCCCTCAATCTACCCACCTCGGCATAAACCTCATCTTTCTCTATCTCGGTTGTCCTACTCAGAGCTAGCTCTTGCAGTTGAGCCTCTAGGCAAACAAGCTCCTTTGGGGTCACCTGGACAACACCATCACCTGCTCTTGCCTCTCTCAGAAGATTCGGTATCAAACCTCATATACAAACTGGAGCACCTCTGAGATCTATCAGCCTACTCAGCAACCCATCTAGCCATCTCAATGTAGACCTCGTGGCTACAGATCCGAATACAAGTAGACTCCCATAAATTTGTGTAGACAAAATATGGATGCAGCCCTGCGAAGCTGTTAGAGCACCCTCTCTAGCTGGTGCATGTCAACTACATACAAATCAGGGAAATGGTACCATGAATGCCCCTGAAAAATCTATATATATTCTAAGAAGGACTTAAGTCAATTTTCTACCTGTTTAAGTAAGCCTAAAGCTAGATATGAAACTGCAAGAAAGAGATAAGTACGTCTTGCTCCAGTACGGTGTCTAGGAAAAGAGAGTAGAAGAAGCGGGAGAGAGTCTCATCAATCTCTCAAATGCCACATGCCCACTTATGAATGTGGGAAAACCGAAGCACCAATGAAGAGGATGTCAAGCAAGGATTGGCTGTGTGCTCCCCAAACCACACTTGATAAAGAAAAAACAAACAACCTCTAACTCAGTACTAGACCTTAAGGGTTGAAGACTTGGCGACACACTAAAAATCAAAGGGTTTAATGAATGATTACCTGTAAGAAGATAGAACAACCTCAAAGAGTGTAGACCGGTACCAGAGTGATCTTCCACAAGTTGTGAAATAGGAGTCCAAAATGGTAGGTCCCCATGCCACCCTCTCCAAGTTTGCCAGGTCTTGAATAGTCTGTACTACCTTATGCGTGGTCTACCCTCTCAGTATATTGGCAAACAAGAACAACATAAACAAGTAGATTAATAATGATCATAAGGAGTGGGTCTCCTTGTAAACACCTTATTTATAGAATTGACATTTTCCTTGGAGTTTTGAATATCAAAGCATAGGAAATGAACCCTTAAATGCATATTAGGAGCATTAGATAAGCCTTTGAAGCCCTGAGGACCGCATTAGCTTAATACACCATATGACACACTAAACCATAGTCATATCTAGACCATTGTCCGTCCCATAAATCCCATAAAATCCCTAAGAATCCCCATTTTAGAAGATCTTAAATAAAAAATAGCAGGTTTATAAGTAATAGGGAATGGTAATATGTTAATATTGCCAAACCATGTGAACTATGATACAATATAGTCTTCAATCATCAAAATCACAATCCCCGAGAAATCTACACCAGCCCGAGTAGGTTGTGTGTCTCATCAAAACTTATGGCGTGTCATAGATCATATTTGCCATGCAAGTTGTGGTGTGAATAACTGTCAGCTTTTGATTGATGCAGACCACCGCCTCACGCACTTTTAGGTCACATTTGCATATAAAAACTCTCATTTTCAACCTCCTTAAGGGAGAGAGCCTCACGTTCTCCAGAAACCGTAATTTCCTCTCTCTAGCCAAACCCTAACCTTAGTTTTTGGTAGCCTAAACCTATAGCCCCTGCAACCTTAGCCATGACCATCGATTTCAAAGACAGAGAACTTCATTCCTTGATCACCTAAGGCATCAACCTTTAAGATTCTGAATCCCTCTTCAAACTATCTTATTCAAAGATCAAAGTCAATCATTTATTTTATCAAAAGAAATTCATCTAGTCAATCTAAGTTCTTATCAAGTCATTTACTCTGAGTG